CCTGGGTGTGGGGCCAGCATGGCATTTGGTGCAGGGGAATGAACTCTGGTGCCTGCGCTTGCCTAAGCAGGTGCTTAGTCCATCGAGCTATCTTGCTGGCCCTCAGAATCTTTCTTCATGCAGGATGCTGTTTGAAAATCTCTGGAGGAGAGGCAATGCAGACCTTTATTTTTCAAGGAGATTTTATTAAAAAGAGAAAAGCCTGGGTTTTTGAGCTGCACTATTACCATCGATAGACCTGTCAACAACCAATCCAGTGCAGTTTGTAGCCCCTGTTTAATTTTACTGTCTATTGATGTTTAAGATCCCAGAGAAAACAAAATTTCATTTCTGGAGCATTAATTTACTTCATTTTTTTCTGGGGAGTGTGTGAGTTAATTTAAAAACCCAATGCCATCTTAGAGCACCTAGAGAATTTCTGCTAAAGTGAAAATGGTAGCTTTTTGCTTTTATTCCATGAATAGATGGAAGTATTACAAAGGAGGAATACATTTTCCTCCGAAAGATGAGCTATTTGACAACTACAGCCTGTTTCCTTTGATACAGAAATCAGTGCTTTGATTTATTGTCATTAGGCCGTCTCCTTCCTCTGCTGAACCAGAGGCAATCAAAGCAGGGGAAGCAAATGGCACTATTTTTCCTGTAGCCATTTGGTAATTTCCCGCGAGAATCGGGAATCACTGTTCTCAGGGGTTGATGTTGTATCTGTCCTGTGGCTATAGAAGTCTCACAGAGGAAGATCCTGAGCCAGGGGAAGAGGGTGGAAGTCTAGACCTCATCCTCTTCCTTCCTGGGCCCTGGTCTGCTGGCTCCTGTCCTTGGCTCTGCACTTCTCAGCATTGCCTTATGTCCCCACTTTGACCTTAAGTGCCAATCAGTCCCCTCATTCTTCAGGCTTTGTGCTCTGCTTTGTATAGTGAGAGGCAAGGAATGGACCCGTTCCATAGGTTTTAATAGGCAAATAGTTCCATTCAGTTGGTCCCCAATTATTTACTGAGCACATAAGACATGTCTCATGCTGTACAGGACCTGGAGACAGAGCCAGTGTGCTGGGGAAGCTCTGGGATGGCTGTATTCCAGCTGTAGATTGTGGCGCTTGCCTTGCCCCACCCCCACCCTCCAATGGCTCAGATCATGCAGTGGTGGCAGGAGGCTGGAGCCTCATTGGTACAGCATGCTTCATGTCGTGGCCACATTTGCCTGAGGTGACAACGTGCATGGTTTTCCTCAGCCTTCCTTCTCCTTCTCTCCTCCCCAGCCTCTCTCCCCTTCACATCCCGTGAGATCAACCTCTTTGACTAGCTTCAGCTACCAACATGTTCACGGAGAAGATTTCAGGAGCAGCCATGCTGTAGGAATTTGATGGCATACACATTTGCAGAGTAGAACACTCTGTTTTTTCTTGGGCTATGAATTACGGAATCTATTTATTGAACTTGTTAGGAGATCTGATTCACTCCTAACCCAGGATTTCTAGAACCACTTTATCACTCCTGTTACTATTGGGTGGCTTTGGGGAGCTGATGGTGTTTCCAGGCAAACTCAGGCTTCTGTACTCCACCCCTCAGAGTATGCTTTATCTTTACTTTCCAAACTGCACTAATGGAAATGTTCCTAAAGTGGGGATGGCATTTTGGGGCATCATCATGGAGAATGAGGGTTAGAGAGCTGACCTAGGGCAACAGAATGAGGCAGGGATAGCAGAGGGATGCCTGCCACCCTTGGGGATGTCCATTCACTAGCAGGAGCTCTGTGAGGGGGCTGGGAGGGGAAAACCCCTTTGCCCAAAGTTCCTCTCCTCCTGCTCACCCAGGGACTGAGGCTTCTGCCCCTGAGACCAGCATATGGAGGTTTTTGAAAATGTCTAAAAGGAAAACATCTTTTACAATAATGTGGGAGAGATGTCAGGGCCAGCTAAAGGTCAGTGTCTTTCCCTGAGTAATTGTCAAGTTTTAGTTAAAAGTAAGAGGTCTGGGAGGGGGAGCTCCTTTGCCTCTCAGCTAATTCTGTGGCCAGTCAGGAGGGAGACTCAAGCCATAGATCTTGTTTGTTTGCACTGGCGACCTGAAATTGCAAGGTACTTACTCTCTGCAGACCTTTTTTTTTTTTTTTTTTCATATTGGGGATCAAACCCAGGGACTTTCTACTGAGCTATATCCCCAGCTCATTATGAAAAAAATTAATTTTGACACAGGGTCTTTCCAAGTTGCCTGGGCTGGATTTGAACTTGTGCTCTTTTTGCTCAGCCTTGCAAAGTGCTGAAATGATAGACCTGCAACATCATGCTAACTTTCAGGGCATGTTTGCTTCAAGTACATGGCTTGGGTGAGGGAGAGAGGCGCCATGCTTTGCCACACAGACCCTGCACAGTATAGGCTGTGTTTCTCTGGCCTCACTTGTGACTGGACTGAGCTGAGCCTGCTGGTGGGCTCTGGAGGATGGCTGACGGCCTCTTACCTGGCAATCTTGTCTGTGCAGGACATGGTGACCAGCTGCTCCCCCAGCAGGATGCCGTCCCATGTCTGGACTGTGCTGGGCCCTCGGACGGGGACCGTCCCTTCCCCAGACTCGATCTTGGTGCGCAGGTGCCCTCGGAATTTCCTGACAAGGTGCTTGCTGCTGTTCACTGGGAAGGAAGAGGTGGTGGTGAGAAGGGGCAGGGAATCAGTTAGGGACGGAAGGGCCTGGGAGCCGAGGAGGGCAAGACATGTCCGAGGCTCCCCAGGAGGTGGAAGGAAATGCAGCGTGGGGAATCTCCTTAGCTCCAGCAGCATCCGGGTTAAGAGCTGAGCTCTAGAGCGGTGCAGCTCAGTCCGCATCAGCCCCTGTCCTGGGATGGGCGGAGGGGTGGAGTGGCTCTGAGGGGCAGCGTGCCAGACTGCTTGTCTACACCGCCAGACTCTGCTCTACCCACCAGGGCATCTGGTGAAGCGCGATGAATCAGCTTGACTGGGTTTCTCTATACTTGGTTTATGGACAAACATTTCAACATGTAAATGTATGATTTTACATGTCATAAGTACAGTCTGCCTTCCTATCCGTGAGTTCTACACCTGCGGATTCAACCAGTCAAGGGTCAAAACTATTTGGAGAAACATTGCTCCTCTATTGAACATGCATATACTTTGTAATCGTCATTTTTCTCTGAGTAATACATGCAGGTGCCTATGGAAAAAGAAGGTGAATGTGTGAATTAAATGAACTTAGTATAGCAAAAAACACATCTCCAAGAATGGTGGGACAAAGGTGTTTGAAGAAGGAGCATATTTTAAATATTCTGAGGGGGCTAAATTTCAATGTGTCAGGTCCAGAAATTATGAGATTAAGGGTGTCTTTATTCATCCATCACTTGGGTTTTCCTCCTTTTCTTTCAGAGCACTCACTGTGCACACATACCTACCCACCTATGCCTTACTCTGCATACCACACTTAGAGTAGTTGGGATAACAGTAAATTTCAATTTATTTTTACTTTCTTTAAAAAATTTCATGAATCCATTTTGGATTATAATGCATCAGAGAAACAGTTAACTGTTTTGCATACAAATTATGCATAAAACATAGCGATCTTAGCATTTAAATATATAAACATGAATGAGTAGTAAACATCTTTGTTTATTTTTTATTTTTTAATTGGTACAGGGTCTCAGTATGCAGTTCAGGCTCATAGTGATTCTCCTGTTTTCAGCCTCCCCATCAGCTGGGATTACAGGTGTGCACCACCATGCCTGGACTCCATCTCAGGCTCCGCATGCCCTGGGGCGGGGCCTGCACAGCATGTGATACCAGGGATCGAGCCCCAGACCCTATGCTTTAGCAAACATCTTTGAAAAGGTTTTTATTTAAGCTTTAGAAGTTGTGTACATGGAGTCTCCCCATTTATTCTCAGTGATGAGCTCAATAGCAGACATTTGGATTTTTAAGGGAACTTTCTCTTAGAGATAGAAAAATTTTCCACTGTTCTTTCTTACTGGTTTTAAGAGCTGAGGTTTTAAGAGCTGGTTTTAAGAGCTAAGGGCTATCTTTTGGGAGGAAAGATTGTTGTACTCCTTTGATAAAATAAACTTTTAGAAGGTTTCAGACAGGTTTGATTTTTTTTTTACCCTGAAGCTAACCAAATATTTTTTGAGATCCAATTTGGACTTGTCTGTGAGTCATCTTGAAAGGGAGAATCAAAGGCAGAAATGTAACCTGGACAGGGCATAAGAACCAGATGCCCAGCCCGGCCGCCCAAGGAGCAGTGAGACTCTCTTCTCTGCAGCTTGAAGTGGTACTGCGAACCAGTACCACTGCGCATGGTGGTGATGACAGCAATGACGGTCCAGCTGTCCATGGTGGCGGTGGTAAGCAGGATGGCGCTGCTGGTGACAGTGGTGATGGAGCTGTTGCTGCTTAGGATAACGCTGATTATGGCGATGGTGGTGATGACAATGGTGAAGATGGAGGTGATGGTGTGATGATGCGACGGTGGCGGTGGACGTGGTAATAGTGATGATGCTAATGATGGCAACTGTTGTGATGGTGCCAATGATGGTGGTGATAGGATAACGGTGAAGGTGATGGTAGTGGTGCTGCTAGTTAGTGGTGACGATAAGTTGGACACAAAATACTTCCTAAAACTAAAAAATGCTTGAAGAAACCTTGAATTTAACCTGAAGTTTTACATCTTCCGGGTGGGAGCTTTGGGGGCAGCAGCATGTCTTAGTTTCTACAATGTTACCACAACCTTGGGAACTTTACTCTTTCTTGTGGGAGGCAGTTTCTCAGGAACCTAGTACTTTCTGTCCTTCTAGTTCTGTTAATTATACTGTACTTATATTCTCCCAATGCTTCAACTACTGGGTGATTTTTAGGTCTCTAACGTTGCATATTATGTTGTAAAGCCTCTCTAAAGTCTTACCATCTGTTAAGGGCAAGACAGTAAGGAGATGTAGCTTGAATAAACTACTGGTTTCAACCCGAAGTTTTAAGACTAGATTCATTTTGCCACAAGAGCCAGGTGCATGAGACACTCCTGAGAGTGCGAAGTTTTGGAGGAGTTAGTTGGGCTTCGGGCTGCCTTCTCCACCACACTCCCTGCTGAGCTGGAGCAGCCCCAGGCTGTGTCTGAGTGCTGCGGAACTCACAGAACTCCTTCTTCAGGGTCTGTCTCAGCTAATCGCAAGAGGCAGGAGGGAGCTGAAGATGCCACTTCAAGTAGAAAGAAATGCCAATCCAACCAGCAACTTCAGAGAACTGAACTTAAGTAATCTGTAGTGTGCCTGAGTCAGTGGACTGTGAAATGTTAAAATCCTGTCTGCCATGTGTGTGTAGGTTCTCCCAAATCCATCTACACACTCTAGTCCAACTCCAGGCAGGAGCCTAAATCACCAGGTCCATCACTGTTGTGTTTATTAACTTAAAACTCTTGTCTTTTGGGGGATTGATGTTATGGTAAATTAGTGTAGAAATATGCTTTATAAAACCGTTCAAGTGCATATTTTATTTTTAGGGGAGAATCAAAGAGAGATAGTGATTAATGGCAAATGGATTTTCTAGGTAGCGAAAGATTTATCTGTAAAGCACTGTGGAGTTGCTACGATGATACAGGGGAGAGAGACAACCAAATCTAAAAGTAAACAAATACTCCCCAAGTTGTAAATCCACCACAATGATATGAGAGGGAAGGAAAATACTTTTACTTATTTATTATTTATTTATTTATTATGTATTTTGTTGTTGTAGGGTCTCACTATTCAGCTGGAGCCCAAGGCAATCTTCCTGCTTTCAGCCTCCCCAGAGCTGGGTTCACAGGCCTGTACCATGTAGCCAGCCCTCAGGGCGATGGTGCAGCATGTGGTGCTGGGGATCGAATCCTGGGCCCTGCACTTGCCTAAGCTTGCCTAAGCAGTTGCTTTAGTCTGCTGAGCTATTTTGCGGGCTCCAGGAAAATTCTTTTAAACCCTAGATAAACTTTAAAACTTCAAACTCTCTTTAAAAGATATATTCAACAAGGTATATCTGTGAAGCAGGATACTATTTATTATAATAATATTATGCAAAATATTTACTAACTAGTAATGTAGGAGATCTTTGCCTTATTTGATGACGATAGTGATGATGTTGAATACTGATTATTTTACAATTCATGAAAATGATTGTATGCTGTATATTTCTGTAATTTAGTAGGAAATCTGAAGCTAGAAATGTAAGGAATGTATTTTAGATTCTCTGACCTTATGGGGCTTTAGTTTAGCCTCCTAAACCAGTGATTTATGTAATGAATGGAATTTGATTAAAATGAATGTATTAGGGACGTATTTGTAGATAAATATATAACGTAATTTTGTTATTTGTCATGGTATGGAACAGGGAAGATAGATTGGAGAATTTAATCTATTAAATTCTTGGAAAATGGAAATATGAGCTGCATTTGCCAGGTTAAAGTCCATAATGAGAGAAGAATCTGTGATAAGTTTGTTGGGGAATCGCCCTGGGCCTTCATATTTTTCTCTTATGTGTAGGATGATAGCCTTGGCTCCTGCTCAGGCCTCCAGAGCCACTAAGGAAATGGTGTGGTCCCTGTGGCTCTCGGAAGTCTTCTCTCCTTCACAGTAGCTGGTGCTCTTAAGCTTCTCGGGGACATTGTCAGAATCCCAACTCTGACCTAGAAACAGTGTCTTCTCTTGGCTGAGTGAAGAAATATCTTTTAGGCATTTTTGCCCCTTTGACTAACCTTGGCCCATGAGGGGAGGATCTCATATGGGTTAGTATTTTTGGCTCAGCTGAGGTGGACAGAATGGTTGGGTCAACAAGAGACCTCAGTCTGCAGAGAATGTCGCTGTAGCAATCCTTCCTCCACAGTGCCTGTGATGCCCCAGTAAAAGCCTTCTCGCCTGCCCACTTTGCTGCAGGTCAGGGGGCCCCACCACAGAGTGCTGTCTGGCCTTGTGCAGACACTCTGCTAGATCATCCTTTCTTTGAAAACGTTTCACTAAGCCAGCAAGAAATAAATGTCTAACGTGGACAGGACAGGATAATCTAAGGGAGTACAAAGCTAGTGGCTTAAAACATGACTGTTGCTCAGAAAACTGCAAATGTGAGAGTTCTCTCCGCCCCTAATGCATCAGCACCTCAGACAAATAGTATGTGGTAAGAACACGAATGTTAAAAATCATCTCGGGTAACTCTGAGAGACAAACTAGGTTTGGAAACAATCAAATCTAATTCCTAAACTTGCAGGCAACATGCTCCCAAAGTATGAGGGGCTAGTTGGCATTGATACCGTACTTAAAGCTTCCAGGAATGGAGCTTTTTTGATCTGGATAAATGTTTGGGTAGAAAATAATAAAACTCAGGATTTAGACTTTCCCCAGCAAAGGGTATCCTAGGGAAACAGCCTGATGACCACATCAGTGTCTGTGTCATCTCTTAGCACTCAGAGCCCTGAATCTGGACCTCAGGGAGGCCAGCTGACTTCAATCCCCGGGGGCTCAGGGGACTCATGAACCCTTCTCAGCTGGGAGAACAGCTGCTGGGCCAGAGAAGTCCCTGGTGGACCACAGTGACTTGGAACTGGTGGGGAGTCGGAAATATGCTCCTAGAAATTTCAAGTCAGGCTCTGTTTCTTTGCCTCCTGATTATTTGGCATTTGTTGGGATTTCTAGAAAATGTTCTTATTATATTTCATTCCTGGTTCCTTCATTCTTTGAAAGTAAGAGGCCCAATCTAAGCCACTTATTCATTCAAGTTTCTAAACCTTTCTTACACTTAGTCATATCTGAGTTGTGTTTGTAGATTGTGAGGCATTGAGTGTTTGTGTGGACATATGCCAGTGCATGTGTGTGTTTGAATATGTGCTCACATACATGTATTTGTGCATTAGTGTTTATACACACGTGTATGTTTGAATGTTCATGAGACAGAAAGAGGGAGAAAGGAGGAGGGAAGAGTTAGGGGAGAGAATTCTAGCACAGTCACAAGTTGATAGAAGTAAGCATAGTGTAGGCCCATGTGGAGTTCACAGTAGAGTGTGCAAACCAATTGAGTTTAAATAAAAAGAGCTACAGTGACCAGTGATCAAGTCTGAGCCAGGCACAGTGCTAGAGATCAGGAGAACCCAAGGAAGGGAGAGAACACGAGTCCAGAGTTTCCTTTAGTTTAGGATGAGCTCTTTAGATCCCTGATGGAGATTTTAGTGGAATGTACTGAGCATATCTGTGCCCTGCCATCTCTGTGTTTGTAAGCATAATAATATGACAGTGACCTTTGGAGGACAGCTGGTCCAGGAAACATGATCCCTAGGGCTTCATTTAAGAGCATGGACCCTTCGTCTGCAGATAGTGTGAGGTTGGGGCTTTTACAGGGCTAAAGTATTTTTGGGAGTGTAGACAGTGCTGTCTGCTGACCTCAGGTGTAGCCCTAACTGGCATTTGTTTATCTAGCAAGCCACAGCTGACCCTGGCAGGAGCCAGTCAGAGCAAAGCTTTGTCACTCACAGTGCAGTCCTCCTTAAATAGTAGCAAGGAAGGACACTGCACTAGTGAGTAGCAGGCAGTGCTGCCTGCTGTCTTGCAGAGAGGAGCTTACTGAGTTCCTCTAAGGCTCTGAATGCAGAGCTTGTTCCTGAGAGTTTCTGCCTCCCTTAGGAGATATGAGGGATGCTGAGTCTCTCTGGAGGCTCCTTTAAGCAGAGACACTGGGCATCAGAGTTATCTTGTCCTCCCTGGGTGAGTAGGGGAAAGCAAAGAACAGCTTTTGGCTGACGAGCCCACTTTATAAGCTCGCCGAGTGGGTGGCTGTTCCGTGCTCACCAGGTGGGAAGAGTCTGGGAGATACCAGCCCTAATTTGGAGGCATAACTCAGGCAACAGCATCTCCTTTTTGCCTCGCATATCTACAGCAAAGTGGGAGGGAAATGCTTTATTTTTTTCTCTTCCCAGCACCTGCCTCTTCTTAAAAGCTCCATGAAATAAAAGACATCTGTGCCTGGAAGTGAACCCCAGGGTGCCTGTGAAAATGTATCTGTTTGTTTTTCTAAACTGCCAACATTGCAAGTTAGAACTGAGGGCTGGTGAGGCCACAGTTGGCGCTTGTGTACAGAGACAAGGGAAACTCGACAGACCAAAACTATCCCCAGGGCAGATCAGGAAGTCTAAGCCAAGGCCAAGGTTCTTGCTGTCCTCCCTCAGCCCTCTCCTGACTCCTTCTGGGGACACATGGGCCAGGAAGGAAGCTGGGTAAAGTAGGTCTGGTCCTAAGACCTCATAAGACTTTTCCTCCCACAGTATGAGGGTCCCTAGGCTAGGTCTTCATAATACCAAAACTTCCCACTAGTTCTCTATTGGGAAAGGGACCAGATTTCACCATTATAAGGGAAGATTGTATCACATAGATGTAGGCTGATGGATGTTTCCACAGAAAATGAATCCGTGCTGTGTTCATTCTCTTTCTCTAGTAGTAAAGAGATACCTTATGTGTTCTCACTTTGGCCTGCACAGGGAGGGCTCTGTGTTCTTCTCACATTGCCCAGGCCAGCCTGGCCTCTTACCTTCCTGGGGACAGTTTAGTTAATGGATTGCTATTATGGTTTTGTATCTGGATGTCCCCCCAAAGCCTCATGCAGTCATAGAGCTTTTTCAGGGGTGACCAGATCTAGAGTGTGTGATGCTGAGGTTAAGGCTGTGTGATTACTTCTCAGGCCACTGATTGGCTTGGCACCACCTTAATCCCAGAAGTCTGCAAAGATATGAGAGGCAGAAACATGCTGCGAAGCCCCCTAGCTCTTCACTAGCTTCTGACCCCATGAACCGGTTCTCCACTTGTTGCTTTGGCTATGTTGTGGGTGCCATGAACTGTTACCCTCTTGGAAACAGAGGTCCCTCTGCCCAACCACCCTATTATGGACTGAAACTTTTACCTTTGGGTATTGAGCATTTTGTCTCAGCAGCAAGAGAAAAGAAACTAGGTTCTCTTTTCTAATTCTCAATTTGACTCAATTTTTCAATTTTTCTTTTCAAAGGATGTGAAAAGGTTTCCCTTATAGAGAGCCCCATTCAAAGGAATAGGGTTGGAGGCAAATCCCTGTATGCAAGAGGATTTTCCCCAGTCCAGCACCCAATCTCAGGGTTACAGAAATAGGGTTAAAAACACTATTACCCACGTCTTGTGTCATTGGAAGCCTGGAACACAGCAGACACTCAGTAGACACTTTTGTCATTATTACACAAGTGTAGCCTTCCATATCAGGAATCAGAGGTCAAACCAACCCTTTAATAACTGTGCACTGTCTGTTGTTTTTCCACTGGAGATTTCAGGAGCACAAAATTAGCTTTTTGTTGTTTCACTGTCTTTACTGGGACCCTATCCTTTCCATGCACAGATACTTATTTTTATGGTAAAATATTAAAAATATATTATTTAGCTGGAACCAAAATCACAAAATGTTGACTGTGACTATGTCTAGGTAGCAGAAATATATACACAGTGGTACCAAAACACATTCAGTGGTTAGGTTCAAGGTTGCAACCAGAATCGTGGGAAGAACTGTTTGTGATCTGAGGTGCACATATATTTACTTTCATTGCCTGTGCGGCAATATTTTTCTAGCTCTTCTGGAAAAGTTTGGAAGTGTGTGAGTGAATGAGTGTATGTGTGTGTTGTATAAATATATACACACAGACATATAAGTGCAAAATATGTGTAAGTTGCACCAATGCGGGCCGGGGAGATGGCTCAGTAGAATAAGCGCTTCCTTGGCAAGCGCAAGGGCCCGAGTTCAATCCCCGGTTCCACTAAAAAAAAAAAAAAAAAAAAGTTGCACCAATTCTAGTCCATAACAGGGTTTTAAAGAAGAGGTATGAACTCGTGCCTTTGATACTCTCTCTCCTGTCATGGAGACACTGTCATTGTTGACATCAGAGGGGGTGGCTCCTGGCCTCCAGTGCTGGACCATGGCGTGGCCCTTCTGCTGATGGAGATGACGGGGCGGGCGGAGCACTCCTGGATGCTCTCTCTCTGGTTCTATGGATTAACATCAGTGGGGCAGGTCCTGCCCAAGGGCTCTCAGTAATGCAAATTTGTAGTTAAGGGGGGGGCAGCACTTTTGCTGGGTATTCCTTGAATCTGGCTTTGATACAAAAGCTGTTTTATTCTCCGCAGAGTTGCAAATGAAGGCAAACAGAGCCAGTTTGAATTTGTTTGCACCCCATGTAATTCTCATTTGCCATATTCATTCCATTTTCCAACCTGGGATGGAGGGACTATTTGACCTATTAAAATGCACAGAGGACTATGGCAATTAAATAGCTAATTTTGGACCTCAAACTACTTTTCTACCAAGGATCTGGGCAGACTACAATTTTGGAGCTATGATTATCTAGTTCATTGCAATCTACTTCTAGCATCTTAGAGCCATGCCCACCTGTACCCAAGGCTCCTGGGTCAAGACAGCCTAGAACAGAGTCTAGATTGATAAAGGGTAACCGGGCACTTTTTGCTATTCACAAAAGAAAAATGCAGTATCTTACGGTCTGTGGTGATCTCATAGGGGGAGTTGAGTCTTGCGTCTCCACAAGGTGATGTGCTCACATAGAGATGGAACAGGATGTTTTCTCGAAGTCGGTAGCCTCCCTCCTTCAAACGCACAAATATGGATCGTTCTGAGTCTTCTCGTCGCTTGCTAGGAACACAAAGAGGATCTGGGTCATTTATTACAAACTCAACCAGAAGGATTTCAGTCAATCAGGTGGATGTGTCTGTCATGGGTTGCAGAACTGTTTCCCAATTTTTCCCTTCTTTACATTCTGTTCTGGGTTTTTCTCTTTCATGAGTACTTCTGCAATGGGTTGCAATGAAACCAATGAAAGCAAACACACACAGCAGAAATCCTGTGCTGCTCACTTTACCTTCACATTTACATTTCAGGCTTATCTTTTGCAGAGCCAGTAGCTACAATTTACAGAGCTGTAATCCGGTGGATTTGCAAACACTCCACATGGCAGTGTCTTTCAGTGGACTATTGACATGACATGGTTTGGCTGGCAAAGTGTTTGTGCACATTAACAAGAGGAAAGGGATCTTAAGAGGGTGGCAGGAGACAGGTGTGGTGGCATATGCTTGTGATCCCAGCACTCTGGGAAGCTGATGCCAGAGGATAGCAACTTTGACCCTGCCTCAAAGGGCAGGTGGGTAGGCACATGGGGGGCAGTGCTGGGCGTGGCTACCTGCATTACCCATGTGGGAATAACAACCAGTGAGGAATCAGCTTTGATTCTAAACTCAACCCTGATCTGGGGTCGATAAAGAAAAAACAAAGCCTCCCTCAAAGCTTTTATGGATCTTGGCCTTTTGCTGCTCACAAACCTCCCCAGCAGCCCCCTAAACTCAGACTTGCAGTCCCTGGCTTGGTCAAGGAGGGCAAATCCTGCAGGGGCGTGGGTTTGGAGGTACTTGTGGCAGCTTATACTTTCCCAGAGTTTGCTCCCCCTGGTTTCCAGCAGCCCACTTTCTGCCTCCCTTGCTGTTTGCTCTTGTTCTGCCCCACTGCTGATGGATTCTGTGTTGCTGGGCCCTGAGACCTCACAGGCAGCAAAACACACATTTTCTCCCCAGGAAACCCTGGGGTTGGCTTTTGCTCTTTGGTTTCCACCCACCCTCTGTCTGCCCAAGGAAACCCCTGGAGAACTGTGGGCCTCCCAGGAGGTCCCGGGAGCTAACTGGCAGTTTGCCTCAGAAGATGGCATCCTCTGCCCCTGTGCAGGGAAAGGAGCAGGGTGCAGCTGGCTTTGAACACTCCTGCCCTGCAAGCTGGCAGCACAGCACACAGCATGCAGCTGGCTCCTGGTAAGTGCTTGCTTGCCTGCCTCTGTGACACAAGCAGGACATAGGATACTTGGAAACACTTTCATTGGAGCAGTTGGATATTCAGGAGAACTATTTTTTCTTTCATTTGGAGAGATTTCCCACTCTGGTTGACCCCAGAGAAGGCCTCCTGGATGAATGTGGCAATATCTCAGGCTGCTATGCACTGCTCAAGATAAAAATTAAGTGAGTGTATTGAGGTATTACTTTTATTTGAGCATGTTTGCCATCTATTTGGGCTTTTTGCCCTTTGTGTGGCTTCCACGTATCTAATGGGCATGAACGAGTCACACACCAAAAGCCTCCTGAGATCCCATTACTAGTGGATTTGAGGAACACCGCTGCTTCAGAAAAGGAAGGGCAGGGGCGTTCTGATGAAGATACACAAAAGCAAACCAGTGGGACTAGAGAGCTTAGCCTAGGAATGCATTTGAGGGATCATATACTCACATCTACCTGAGGTTCTGTTCCTGTTTATTGTGTCTTAGAAGAGATACCAGCCCAGGTGGTGGTGTGTTTCTTTCTCATGACCAGGACAAGCTGCCATGAGATGCTGGAAATTCCAGCACTGGAGCTTACGACTTAGGGCTTCACTGGCTTCTTCAACTTGGAATACAAATTACCAAGATGTCCTTGGACATGGAGCCCAGAAAGAGGCCACATCTCAAAGCTTGTTAGTAGGCACTTGGGGCCCATTTCCTCAGGACTATGTCTAGGAATGTGGCACATTTGAGAATGTGGGGAGAGAAGATGGATTCACCCTGGAGGTCCAGAAGGTATTGAGCACCAATTTGTTATATACACTAAGGTCAAAAATATGGTAAATGCTTAATTTTTTAAAAAAAGAAACAAAAAAAATAAAAAAGAAACATACTACAACAAGGGACACATTGTCATTAATCTCCCTGGAAATACTCCTTCTCACTTTGAACACACTCAGCCCATTGCTCTTATCACTTTTGGATGCACTTTGGAAGTCTTTCTTTTTTTTTTTGTAAATCTGGTACAGGATCTCACTATGCAACAGCTTGGGCTCATAGTGATCCTCCTGTTTCAGCCTCCCCAGCGCTGAGATTAGAGGCATGAGCCACCATGCCCGGTTTTGATGGCTGGCATGGCATGTGGTACCAAAGATAGAACCTGGGTCCTTAAGCTTGCCAGGAAGGCACTTAGACCTCAGAACTATCTCCCCAGCTTTGGAAGCTTTCTTTCATGAGTGTCTTTAGTTGTGTTATGGCTGCCTTGAGGTCCTGAATTGATTCAACATGTTTATCTTTCATGATCATTTTGACTTTGGGAAGAGCTGGAAGTTACCTGGTGCCAGATGTGGTGAGAAGCAGGGTGACCATACACTGTAAAGTTTTACAAGCCTGCCTTTCTGTTGGATGACATTCAACATCAGCATTCATGATTCACCACATTTTTTAACCACACCTCATAAAGACACTCATGAAAGAGAGCTTCCAGAATTGCTTCAGAAAGTGACAGGAAAAATGGTATAAGTGTGTTAGAATCAAGAGAGGGTATTTTCCAGGCGGATTAATGGCAATTTGTCTTTAAGGTAATACATTTAAAAAACTTAAATAATCACTGTATATTGCAGTCACACTGCTTGGTGAGAGCTACTTGCCTGAGACTTTTCCAGTGGAAGCAGCCTGTTACTTAAAGGATAAGGCCTAGAGACAGAATGAAGAATGGTAGCCCATCTATGAGCCTTTAGGAGATGGTCTTGGCCAGTCTTGCAAAAATGCTGAGCACTCATAAAAGTTTTTTTGACTAAGAAATTCTTAAAACAAGGCTGACAAGGGGGAATGAGGTACTTCTGCAGAAATACTGAGCCATGGGTCCTGTTTGAAATGGAAAAAAAATGTAATTAATCTCTTAGGGGCTGGGGAGATGGCTTAGTAGAATAAACACTTGCCTGGCAAGCACACAAGGGCCTGAGTTCAATCCCTGGTTCCACAAAAAAAAAAAAAAAGTGAGATGGAGACAATTTTGTCAAAATTTAGTGCAGATGTCAACTTCTATATGGCACTGTACCATGGCTAAAAGTTTACACAGGGCAGGGAGCAGGTGTATTGATCCAAGTCACCTCACACTAAATGAATACACTTCTAATTCAGTCAGTGCAGGTTGGGGACTCAGAGAGAGCAAGAGGTTTCATTCCCAAGAGACAGTGAATTCATTCACTTCTTCTATTTCTGTGTCTCTCTCTTTTCCTCCATTCCTTCCTCTCTCCTTTTCCTTCATGCCTGCCTACCACCTACCTACATAAGGCTCATTCTGGGTATAATAACTAGGGGCTGGTGCTAGAAAAAGGAATGCCTTCATCGAAACTTGCAGTTAAAATGACACAGTTCAGGTCAGATCTGGGTTGCTGCTCCTTCTGGGTAATATCTCCATTCACCTTTAGCTGACCCTAGAGCTGGATTCTCTCTTTGTCCCATTGCTAGTTGGGTTCAGAGCGCACAAGGTCAAGGTACAGCTATGTCTAGTGATTTCCTCAACTTTAGAGACATGAGCCTCATTATGGAAATTTTGTCATGTGAGGTACTATAGCAATTCTCAAATGTTTTAAAGAAAAAGTCAAATGAAATGAACTGTGATAGGATGCATCCCCGCATGTGTGGGCACCTGTGTGGAGGTATATGTGTAGGCAACTCATAGGCAAATAATGTGTTTCCTGGAGAGAGCTGTGGGACAGTGAGGATTGACACCTGATGTTTAGCATTGTACTGGCCTGTGTGGTGTATGAACATTGTGTCAGGTCTAGATATGCTTTGTGGTGAGTAGCTGCTCACTCTGTGTAGGCAACTGGCCAGGATAAAGGAAGTGGCGAGTCTGGGCTGGTTGCGTCCCCCTCCTGCCCTGGCTGCTCTCCAGTGGAGGTCCGTCTAGCAAGGATGGGCCCATTTACCTCAAGTGTAGCTCCAGCTGTGCATAGAGGAAGTGGAGAAAGGCCCGCCTGGCCACGATCTCTGCATGGCAGTCGTTGACCACCAGCCCCTGGTCACTGATGTGTTCACCGCTGATGCATTTGGTCCCCGAGGACAGGACGATGACCTGTGCCTGCCTGGTGTCCAAGCCTGAGGGACAAAGAGTGGTAAGAAGAGCTCAGACATCATGAACCCCCATTCTACCTTTTAGAGACCTACAAGTAGCCTTGCAACTCCCCCCAAGTTTCCCCAGTGGACATGCATGATGTAGTGTTCTACATCCTGAACTGTGTGAATGGTGGAAAGTGCCTCCTGCAGGACCTTATCTTGCTCATGGACTGCTTGAAACTGCATTCCAAAGACAGCTGTGGGGTGAATAGCACTCCAAGATCCCTGCTGACTTTTCAAGACCCAAGTCAGCATGGCCACCCTTGAATTTAGCCCAAACAACTGCATCTCAGCTGCTGATTATTTATGAGATGGAAATGGGGAGTTGGTATGTTCCCACATTTGAATAGGAGAGTCTTGGAAAATGATGGGCAAAATAGAGACAGGGTGGTGACCTGCCACCAATGAAGGGACTCAGGGCCACAGTCAAGCCTGGCTGGGAGGTGGAGGGATCTGATAGCTACAGGGTTTCCTTCTGAGACCCTAAAGGGGAAGTGAAAGGACCTTTAGCCATGTGTGTTCTAACTACCTAAAAACTTTCCCCTAAGGGGCCGGGGAGATGGCTCAGTAGGATAAGCGCTTTCCTGGCAAGCGCAAGGGCCTGAGTTCAATCCCTGGTTCCGCAAAAACAAAATAAAACAAAACAAAAAAACCCCAAAACTTTCCCCTGCCCCTGCTTCCAAATTGACAGTTGACTATTCTCTGAGATATTTGTTGATGGGAATGTACTGTGAATACGAGGGGGTAAAGGCAATAAAAGGCTCCTACAACTGAGGCCCTGTCCTAGAATCAGAGGCATAGTGCAGGGCATGGGGATCACAGCTGCATGCCACTGATACCTGATGCACCTGCTTTATCTCCTCACAGGAGAGTTTAGCTGTACCCCCAGAACATGGGAACCAGGTGAGTGGCTGGATCCAGGACAGTCCTCCAGCATCCCTCCCTTTGTTCTATATAGCACACTGCTGCTCTGTGGAGACTTCTACCTTTCTGATCCTTTTACCTTAATAGTGTGCGTGTGTGTGTGTGTGTGGGGGAGGTGCATTGTAGCTCTAGCCAATCTCTAAATCTGTGGAAGACAAGACCCTGTGAGTTGGAACAGCTGAGCAATTGGTGGCACAACATGTCTTAAGAGCCTTAGGTGTTGTAGGAGCCCTGGTGAGTCAGGAAATGGCCATCAGGGACAATGCTCAGGCTGAAGAGGGGTGAAAATATCTTTAGGTGGTGGCTTCAGACATCTCTTCTTTCAGCCACGTTTCATAAACTGATTGATTCTGGAGCCAGAGGAGGGGTGTCTGGCACTGGAACCCCTTTTCCATGCAGATTCCCTTCATGGAAGGTAGCTCCTCAGCAGTGTGTGATCAGAGCAGTGTCTCCCTCATTTTCTGAGACTATAGCCTATTACCAACTCTGCGAGGGCACACTGAGGGACTTGACCAGTCGTCTCCATGGCCTTAGTCATTTCCTCAATCTGCTTAGGGGTCACCTAGCAGTTGGTACTTAGGGCTGAGAAAAACTTAAAACCATGCATTTTCACAGGTTGGTTTCTAGAACTGTAAAACTGGGCTTCTGTTTGCTTTTATCCATGTAAAACCAGCTGAAATAACACTGGGACAGCAGGAAACAAACCCCTAAAGTACCTTATGGTAAGAGCAGAAAGTTTTGAGGTCAAGCTTAGTAATGAATCAATTTTCTTAATCTCTCTGAATTCCAGTTACCCAGAGGATGGTGGAAGTAGCAATTACTATCTAGGGATTCTTCCCTCCCCACTTCCTGTCCTCTATGTTTTTATTTTTCCCTCAGTAGGATCAACTTTCAAGACAGGAGCTGATAATTGTTTATTCTTATTGAAAAAGTATTAGCTGCTTCATGATTTACTTTTCATAGGATGATGTTGATTTTGATCATAGTCAAAGTCATCTCTTCAACCAAGATGGCAGCAAGCTCTCAAAAGCAAACAAAACTGAAGAAACCTTGGAAACAGCCTCTAGACTTAACATCTTTAAAATACAATATCCATCACCTTTGCTTATGAGATCCTAGAAGATGACAAATCAAAGTCATTCTTTCTGCTGCCGTAATGGGTCCATGTGTGAATGTATATTTTCTCTTTAGCTAGAGAATAAATTCCTTGAGGGTAAGAATCAGAATTTTCATAAAATATTCTAAAAAGGGTCCTCCAGGAGTTCCCATTAGTAGATTGTCTCCTGCAGTCCAGTCAGCGTTACTTTCTGAAATCCAGTTTTCCAGGTACTGCAACTCACAGTAAGGGAATGATGTTGGGGTGCCCATTTGTTGTATTATACATTTGAACAACCTGGTGTTTCTCGGTTTTAGACTATGTGCTCTGTGTTCAGTACAGCATGATGGGTCAGCAACTGATCATATCCAACACCTTTGAATCCTGTGCTAAATATATATATGAACCATTTCTTTAAGGAGGCGATATGTAAATTGAGGAGATAACAGAGCAGACTTCCATTTTTTTGCATTTAAAAAAATTATTCATTTTAATGAGAAAAAAGATAAAATAGCAATGAAACAGTTTCAGAACAGGTTATTAGGACAGTTACAATAATTAATACATTGTACATTGTTGTCTTCGAAGGAGTTATTCAGAGGACAAGATGTAGACATGACATCTTATCTAAACAATATTAGTACAAACCTTTCTTCTCATGAACTAAGAGAAAGCAGCTGCTTTCTCTCAGACTTCCATTTTTAATAAGATTTACCTCCTCAAGTGCCACTGGAACGGGGCACATGCTATGGACTGCACACACTTGCTCCTCTAACTAGAGCTGTAACTAGAGCTGTTCTTTCTTAAGGATTTAACTCTGAAGCCTAAGAGACCTCTGCTTCCTCCTCCACAGACAACTTGCATCTTTCCTTGCAAGATGGCAAAGAGGTGCCTAGAGGGAGAACAGGAAAGGATAAGTCGCTGTAGGTGGGGCCAGAGGGGACAACATGGAGCAGAAGGAAGGGGAAGATGGAGGCAAATATTGACACATTTGGTGGCAATCAAGGACCTTGAACCTGCCATGAGAATTTGGTGGGATACCCCAGACAGCCATGTGGTCTTCTACTCTGTTTCTAGAGAGCTCCAGCTGCTTGGGCAGTGTGTGTCCTGTCTCCTTCCTTCCCCAGAAAAGCTGTCCTGGTGCAACTGCCGGCCACCACTCATGTCCACTACTGCCTCCTGGCTTCTGCCAATCTTGATTTCTTGGGAGTCCTACTCAGGCCATCCTTACACTCTTTCCTTTCCCATGGCAGGGTTTAGCTTCTTGGTGATCTTGGGAAACAACTGGATGTGTTTAGTTACCAGGACAGGGCCTACACTACTTTGATAAAAACATATTGAGAATACAACCATACCTCTTGTGTTTTCTTCCCAGGAAAAGTCCAAAAGCAAATGTGGCTGCTGCCTGTTTCTCAGTTACTAGATTCTGCCCATTCCTGTGGCTCAGCTGTTCACTAGGTGGGCTGCCCCTAGCTGAGGTGTTCCAAAGGTGGGGGTGACGATCAATTATTAGTGGGAGCTAAGGCTATAGGAGTAGGGCAAAGCAGCTGTTCACTCCCCTCTCTTGGTGCCCCAGAGCCATTTTTTAATGGAAACATGAATTGCTAAGAAACAGTTAATGAGGATGCCATCCCCATGGATAAAACATGGATAAAACACTTTACATATTCCAGTTCCATTAAGGCAGGTATTTAGAATAATAGAAAATAACACTTCTAATAACTCTTTAAAGTATTTTGGTATTCAGAAATCTAGGGTACATGTGGTCTAACTTAGGAACAAACTCTTTGAGAGTAGGTCCTATTGCTTTTGAGGCCCAGGTCTGATTTTCCTCTTTTGATTCTATGGAAATTAGAGCTATAGAAAAAAAGAACTGCTTTTGCTTCTACCCCTCATTAATTCTCAACTCTGCTTGACTCCAGACTGTGAAATATCCAGTACAATTATGTGGCTCAAGAAACGCATTATTTGCTTATTCACTTCTCATTAATCTCACCTCCTCTCTGCCAGCACCATGCTAAGTAACATAGGAGACATAAGCTATTTAAGAAGTTGTCCTATCTTTTAGCATACACTTAGGGAGATGATAAGAGACAGGAATATTTGCAAAATGAGATATTGTATGATATCACATAAGTGCTCCACAGAATGTCAGAAGAACATAGAAACCACTGACAGAGAGGGGAGAGAGAACGGGGGGAAGAGAGAGAGAGAGAGAGAGAGAGAGAGAGAGAGAGAGAGAGAGAGAGAGAGATTAGAATGCTATGAAGATTTTTTCAATAAATGTTGTGTGTGGACATGATGAGATACAGGAGGGGGTATCCCAGGTGGAGTGCATGCAATGGCTAAAGGGGTGGATGAGGAAACACATAGGACTGTTTCGTTTTTTAGGGGACAATGAAGTCTATTTTGCTAACAATGGGAGATTTTGTCCCATTGAAAAATGGTGGATATTAAATTGAAAAGACAGGTGGAAATTGATTACAAAGGAACTTGAATGCCACACTGATGATATTAAATCTTATGTAAGATACAGTGAGGTGGTTGTTAAAGGATTTTTATGGATAGTAACACAGTCTATAAGTGAATGCAGTGAGAAGGGTAGAGAAAGAAAGCTGGGACTGTACATGGGAACTACTGCAAGCTTTTATAGTCTGGACATTGTGTAATGAGTGAGGATGTGGGAAATCCCACCAAGAATGGACAAATTCAGGGGCTGCCCAGAGAGAAGGGTATGAGCTGTGAATAAATTTGCAAAATTAAAGTAGAAGATGAGCTACAGAAAGAAGTAAAAATATACAGAAGATGAAAACTAGAAAGATTTTTACGAAGAATAGCCAAATTCAAGGCTGACAGTCTTCCTCTGGGGAAGAGAAAAGGACAAATGTATCATTAACTCTTCCCTCAGAATCCATGAGGGGTGACTTGATGGCATTATTAATTTTATGAGTTGGAAAATGGA